CCTGGTTCAAAGACTTGTTCTGGTGCGAGCGTCACACCATTTGCAACGTCTCTCTACCCTCGCCACAAAAAGACCCCAAAAAGACAGATAAAAGGCATGGCCGACCTACCTGAAGCAGTAGGAAGATAGAAGACAGTTACATTTAAGAATGCCATCAGAACCGTCGGTAGAATCAGTACAACAGTATAGAACAAGGTTTTCCTTCTGAATCAAAGCGTTCTTAGGGGAAACTCGGAAATGGGAAGTTCTTACAAAATGATCAACATGTGGTCCCATAAACTGAGGTTAAACTGACCTGATCCTGACTTGGAACTCGATTCTACTCCGATCCTCGGTTAGCACAGCAGGGGCATCCATCATGTCCCATATCGATGACGTTGCATATTCAGAGAAGTCGACCCGATCCGAATGCAAAAAGTCTAACTGGACTTCGTTACGACTATACTGAAAAGTTGTCCTGTTTACCTCACTCATAATATCCCGAGGCAAAGAACATACAAACCAAATGGAACTAGCGCTGCAAAACTACAGTAGTCTGTCCGGTTGCTATACTCACTAGTTTACCATCATCACTGTTACCACAGCCATCGCCAGCTTACACGGTGTTCAAAGCGCTGCCCCGATCAGAAGTTATTGAAGTTGAAAATATGGCATTGGGAGGGGGTATGTGGTCCGCGACGAACAACCTTGTACCGGTTTTGCGGCAAAAATTGTAAGGGAGGGGCGCTATAGCGCAATATAGGTTCAGTGACGCCTCCTTTTTTCCAGTGACTCCGCCTCCAGACTCCGCCTTCAAGGCCCGCCTTTCAGTGAAACGAAGCTGCAGGACGAAAAAGCATGAAAATCGTCACTTGTACGGTCGTAGAGTTCTTACCGGGGAATCAGCTGTGCGGATGAAGGCGTAGTTTTGGAAATGGAGTTAATTGGGCACGTACAAACTGGGATCAAAATGGGGTTCTATCTAGGGCAGTTGGCATGTTTTTTCTGCTTTTTTTTCTTCACTATCGAGTTACTCAACCCTTTTGTCTATATGCAAGTCACTAATCCACTATTCGTGGTGGTTTCTTCGACCGTGGCCTACAATACTTGACAAATATCCTGTCTTTCCGAGCTTGGTCTCGTAACCAGGCCGTAATTCTAGCCCCCTATACGTCAACCAATATGGTTTTTTTAGTGCTCATGCTTAGTGAGGAGATCATTTGCGGGAGTCTACCAGCGTCTTCGTGAGCAAGTTCAAACTCAAGTTACTACCACTCAAGTTCAAAAACATCCGCGAAAACGCTGCTGTACGCTGAAGGACGCTGGCGTCCGTGGATCGATACCTACACTTCCCTAGTCCCTAGGAACGCTGGCGTACGCTGGACGACGACGGTGGTCGCTGGCGTTGGCTAGATCTATGTGTACTGTTCTAGTCGCTGGGCTCTGGCCTTCGCTCGAAACGCTGGCGCACGCTGGTGGGAGCTGCAGCAAGGTATGAGCGCAGCTTAAAGACACATGGTACGTTCGAACACATTGAGGGTGTATGAGACTATCAGCTCTCCGGCTGTCGATGTGACGTGG